AGAGAGAGAGAGAGAGAGAGAGAGAGAGAGAGAGAGAGAGAGAGAGAGGACAGAAGCGTATGAGGTCCGACGATGCGGTGTATGTCGGCATTGCATCCGGGGCTTCTAGGTGTATGTGGAACTCATCCACACACTTAATCCTGGCGTGCAGGACTGCTGTAAATCGGCGTGTTACCGAATTAACTAGGGATGTTATACGTACATACAGCTTATATCATATATATATATACATATATAGCTTAATTAATACCTGCCTATATATAGCTTAATTAATACCTGCCTGTATAAATAGGTAAATATATATACACATTACATATATATATACATATATCGTACATGTATAAATAGCTTAACACAGAATTACGCAGATAGGTTGATGACTAGTGAGGTTGGTGAGGTGGAATCTCCTCTTACCGTCTTTCTGCGGCAGTTTTGTCGTTTTCCCCCGTTGCCGGCCCTTAAGTAGCTTATAGGATTTCTGGGGTTGTTTAGGATTTAGGAGGGGGGTAGTAGGGGGGTAATTAATCTATCCGACCGACCCTGGGGTCTGTAAATCGATCTAGGGAGCTGGCGGTGCGGGAGTCGCCGCAGTCTTTTTTCTCTTGTGTGGGTTCAATCTTCAGCTCTTGTGGCGACTCCCGCACCAACAGGTCGGCATTTGAGGAGCAGCACGTAGACGTGAGAGACGCAGAGCGTCGTGAGCAGCAGCAGCAGCAGCAGCAGGCGCAGGAGGAGGAGGAGGAGCAGGAGCAGGAGCAGCAGCTAGCGCAAGGGGGAGGAGGGTCGGACTCTTCCTCTTCCCAGCTGTACATCCTCTACGGGGAAGACGAAGATTGGACAGAAGAGGAAGAGGTGGAGGGCAAGAGGAGCAAGTGGAAAAGAATCTGGACGATGGGGACGTCCAGTTCCAGGCTGGAAAAAGCACTCGGAGAATTCCCCGAATGTGAACGATACTTCGGCCTCGAGAATTTCGGCAATACATGCTACTGCAATAGCGTTTTGCAGGTAAATGATGGAATTGATTTTGTTATAAGTAATAAGTAATAATAAGCTTTTTTTTTTTTTTTTTTTTTTGGATTTTATTAGAAGTAAGTAATAATAAGCTCTTTTTTTTTTTTTTTTTTTTTTTTTTTGTTATTTGGCTGGTTTCCGAACGCGATCGATTTTGATTATGCTATCTCAATTACTACAGTCATATCTTGACTTATGACTCCGCTACACAGCACTCTGCATGCATTGGGACGCTCTTCTGGAGCCGATGCATGCAAAATGTTGGACACGGCCGAATGCACTTTGTCCAGGAAACGTCCCACATGCATGTACACTGTTGTGTTGTGTTGTGGAGCGAGGCCCTACATCATCTTATCTTGTCACATCTAATCATATCATGTTGTATTATGTCAAATGATAATCATAATCATACAAGCATTGATGTGATGGGCTTGAAGCCGCGAGCCGACAAACGACGCTCACAGCATTTTGGTGAGGGCATACTCGCCGCGCTAGGACTTTTACTACTAAGATCTGGACGTGATTGCGGTCAGATTCGTCCAGGTCAGACCGTAATTGCAGTCAGATACGTTACTGAAGTGCTAGTGTGAGTATGCTCTGACTGGTAGAGTGAGGTATTGATGAATCATGTGAAAAAGTTTCTCACAGTACTTTTTTAATTTATTTTTATTTACTTTTTAATTCACTGTATTTCCTTTTGTGGAATTACAGTATTTCCTTTTTTGGAATTACAGTATTTCCTTTTTTGGAATTACAGTATTTCCTTTTTTAGAATAAGTATGGTATCCATTGTGTGCCAACATAACCGTACTTGTGCAGTATAGGGTCTCGCCGGAGCACTCACCCAATGTGAAAAAGCCAAATGTGAAAAAGAAAAACCTCTGGCCAACGTATCTTTCCACGTTCTGGTGGGAGATGCATTCTCCATTTTGCACATTTGGTGAGTAGTCCGCCAGGGCCCTGTATTACTAAGATCACGGTATTTCCGTTTTAGGAATGATCGTGTTACTGCAGTGCGTCCAGCCTTGCCCCAAAAAATTGACATGCATGACAATGAGTGCTATCAATCAAAATGATATTATTTTATTATGGCTATAATAACAAAAAACGTGGAAAGCTACGCCAGGGCGGGGGGGGGAGGAGGGATGGAGGTTATCACTGCATAACTTTGTGCATCTCCCCGCCCCCTCCCCCCTCCCCCCTCGCCCCCCCGCCCCCCCGCCCCGCCCTCTACTCTCCCCTCCCTTTCCCTCTCACGGATGAAGCAATTGCGATGTGGGGCCAACGGCTCATCGCTTTCCGTGCTTCTCTCTTTCCTTGGATGGACACGTGTCTCCTCCTCTCCTCCTCTTCGTGTGGCTGCTCTCGTTCTCTCTGTCACACCCGTTCATGTGGCGCTCTGTCTTCGTTGCCATGCTCTGTTGGCCTCCTCGCTAAACCCTCTCCCTTTCTCTCTCTTCATTCTCCCTTTCTCTCTCCTCCTTCTCCTCTCAACTCCCTATCATCCCAGCGCTGCCCTTTTTTGGCCCCTTCCTCGCTAAACCCTTTCCCTTTCTCTCTCTCTCTCCTCATTCTCCCTTTCTCTCTCCTCATTCTCCCTTTCTCTCTCCTCATTCTCCCTTTCTCTCTCCTCATTCTCCCTTTCTCTCTCCTCATTCTCCCTTTCTCTCTCCCCCTTCTCCTCTCAACTCCCTATCATCCCAGCGCCGCCCTTTTTTGGCCCCTCTTTTGGCCCCTTTTGTGGCCCCTCTTTTGGCCCTTTTTGTGGCCCCTCTTTTGGCCCCTCCGTTGCCCACTCCCTATCCCAGCGCCGCCCTCTTTCGGCCCCTCCGTTATGCCTTCCTCCGTCTGCGTCCTTTTCTTTGTCTCAATCTACTTTTCCCAGCCACTCACAGCCTGTCCCCGCTGTGGGCCTAGTTGGACTGCTCGCCATCCGCCAACATTTTGAATGCATTTGGACTCAAATTTGTCCAGATGCATTCAAAATGTTGGCGGATGGCGAGTAGTGCAACTGGGCCCTATCTCTCGGGCCGTTTTGGACGCGATTCTGAAGAGGAGATGCAAAGGGAGGAGAGAGGCAAAGTGAGAAGAGAAAGCAGAGAGGTGAAGTGAGGGCATACTCACTCTAGGACTTTTTTGGATGTATATGACCGCTTTTCCGACCCAACCTGGATGCACCTGACCTCAATTACGTTTCACAGAGGTCGAAAAAGTTTTAGTGTGAGTGTTTCCTGAGTAGAGAGAGAGCAGAGAGGCGAATTGAGTGGAGAGAGCAGAGAGCCTGAGAGAGGCTAACTGGGTAGGTAGACTCGTTTGCGCTCTTTTTGTCTATGATACTCTTCTTCGTCTCGGTATCAATCCCAGCGCGGTGTATATCTCAGTAATTGCCGGTTTTGATTTGGTCTCTTGGTCACTTGGCTCCAAGGCAGCCCTGGCATTCTGTTTGCATGTGGCCCCCGCCGCCTGCTCCGCTTGTGTCTCATTCGTATCTCGACTCTGGGCCTCTTCTTCTTCTCTATCTCTCAGTATCTCCAGTATCATATGCCTCCCTCTCTGTCGATCTCTCTCTCCATTCTCTCCCTCTCCCTCGCTCTCTCTCCTCTCCCCCCCCCCCCCCCCCCCCCCCCCCCCCTCTATCTGGCCATCTCCTTCCGTCTCTCCCTCTCTCTCCCTCTCTCTCTCTCACTCACCCCCCTCCCTTCTCCCTCTCTCTCTCTCTCTCCTCCTCTCCATATCTCGCCATCTCCCTCCCTCTCTTCCTCTCTCTCCCTCGCTATCTCCTCTCTCCTCCTGCATATCTCTCTTCCTCCCTTCCTCTCTTCCTCTCTCCCTCTCTCCCTCTCTCCCTCGCTCTCTCTCTCTCCTCCTCTCCATATCTCGCCATCTCCCTCCCTCTCTCCCTCCCTCTCTCCGTCTTCCTCTCTCTCCCTCTCTCCACCCTCTCGATTTCTCGCCGTTCCTCTCCATCTTCTCATCTCTCTTCACCTCCCTCCGTTCCTCTCCATCTCTATCTCTGTGCATTTCTCTGAATCTTTTTCAATCAATCTCTCCCTCTCTCGTCACCTCTCCTTCCCTGTCATCACTGCTTTTTCACTCGATCTCTCCCCATATCTCCATCCATCTCCATCTCCATCTCTGCCCAGCTCTCTCCATCTCTGTCCGTCTCTCTGCACTCTGCATCTCTTCCTCCATCTTTATTCATCTCCTTCCATCTCTCCTTCCATCTCTCCTTCCCTCTCCTTCCCTCTCTCCTTCCCTCTCTTCTTCCATCTCTCCTTCCCTCTCGACTCCGCGCCATTGTTCTCCATCTCCCGCCGTGGTCTTGCCTTGGGTTTGTCTGCTCGACGCTGCCTGTTCTGATCCTTTGCCCGCTCCAATCCCCTCCGTCGGTACCGGTTGTTTCTCCTCCGCCTTCTTTCCGCTGTTCATCGTCTCTGGCCTCCGCGCATCTCTCCTTGATCTATTTGCACCACTCTTGGCCCTCCTTCGTTCGTGATTAGCATAACCGCTGTTTCTACTTATCATTCCACATCGCCTACCTGTGTTAGTGTTTTACTGCGTTGCGTTATTGTCATCACTGCCGTCAATTCTCAATGATTAGCATTTCTATGTCCATGCTACTCTCTACTTGTTAGGGCATACTCGCACTTGGAGGATTTTTTTTAATTATTTATGGACGTGATTGCGGTCAGATACATGCGAATCTGTCCATAAATGCGGTCAGTTACATTTAAGATACAGCTAGTGTGAACAACCCCTTACTGTTCTACTTCCACGCTATTGTCACCGTTGCTGTCTGTTCTCAACGATTGAATTGATTGATCTCAGCCGTCGGCTTTCTTCTACTGTTAAGCCCCCCGCCCCCCCCCCCCCCCTCCCCACACACACACTTTTCTTTTTGTCCTTTTTTGTCCACTTTCTATTTGTTGTTATTCCCCTTTTTGTCCTTCTGATCCTTGTTGTTGCCTCTTTCTATCCTTATCCTAAACCCTCGTACTTGGTCATGTCTCCTCATGTCCCCCTTTGCCCTTTTACCCCTCTCCAACTTCCGACTCTTCTGTGGATGAAGGGATCCACAACCAAATTCGCTTGGTTTTGCCTACCGGTAGTTTTTTTTACCTATTTGATGGTGGTAGGAGAGTCCACCCTTCTCCCTTCAAACACAAACGCTCACCTGATGACGAAAGTATGAAGCTGTCTTTCCCGACCGTATACCTGTCTCTTATACACATCTAGATGTGTATAAGAGACAGGGGTAGCGAGGTCTGGAGATCTTCTTCAGGGGTACAAATGGAAGATAGACGTCTGCACATCGGCAGGGGCCAAGTGCCAGTAACGATTGTTTTTCATTTCTGGCCGTTGATCTTCCTAATCTACGGTCAGAGATTGAGAACCCGGGTCAGTGGGACTTGGGCCCAGGTATCACAAACGGAACTTGTTCTGTATCTGTCTCTTATACACATCTAGATGTGTATAAGAGACAGCCGTTAAGGTTTCCGTGAGGTTTTCCGTTCCGGTAAGGTTTCCGCTAAGCTTTCCAGTAAGGTTTCAGTGAGGTTTTCCGTACTGTAAGGTTTCCATTCCGTACAGTAAGATTTCCATTCCGTACGGTAAGGTTTCCGTTAAGGTTTTGAGTGAGTTTTTCCGTACGGTAAGGTTTCCGTTAAGGTTTCCTTGGGGTAGCGAAGATGGAGGGGTCAGGTGATCTTCAGGGATACAAAGGGATGATAGACGTTTAAGGTTATTCAGTGAGGTTTTCCGTCCGTTTAAACCACCAGTACTTGGCCCAGCTATCGGCCAGAGGAAAAAAAGAGTAGAAACGTTTCTAGTCGGATGAATTTGGGCTATTCTATACGTTTCCTAAAACCGTGGCTTGTAAACGGGCAAAGCTTTAGGAAGTACTGGTGGTTTAAGGTTATTCAGTAAGGTTATTCAGTGAGGTTTCCGTTAAGGTTACCCCGTTAAGGTTTCCTTGGGGTAGCGAGGTCTGGAGATCTTCTTCAGGGGTACAAATGGAAGATAGACGTCTGCACATCGGCAGGGGCCAAGTGCCAGTAACGATTGTTTTTCATTTCTGGCCGTTGATCTTCCTAATCTACGGTCAGAGATTGAGAACCCGGGTCAGTGGGACTTGGGCCCAGGTATCACAAACGGAACTTGATCTGGACAGATGAGACGGGAGTCTTTTGAGGGGCAAGGTCCCACTTGCGCAAATTAGGAGATTCCGCCCGTTGATCTTCGCTGTCTACGGTCAGTATCTCTTAATTCGTGCAAGTGGGACCTACCGGGGTAGCCCCGGGAAAGTTGTCAGGGGGTGGGGTGGGGGCTCGAGATCCGTCGTTCAAAGATCAGCACCGATTCAGCAGGTTTTTTTTTTCTTTGTTCCTTTTATTTTTTTTGTTTGATGATGATGATCGGCGGTGGGAAATGGTCCGTCAATGTCCTTCGGGACATCCGTTAAAATTGGAACGATAACAGAGAAGATTAAATAATAGCATGGCCCTGTTGGCAAGTAAGGAGGACTCGTGTAAATCAAGAAATGGTCCAAATTTTAATCCCTCAACAGAAATTTTAATCCGGAGACGGGAGATGGCTTAAAAAAAAAAAAACGGAAAAAAAGGTTCCTCAACAGAAAAAAAAGAAGAGCAACCTGGAGGCTATCCTCGTCATCAGCCTGTCTGTCGAGCAGAACAAATGTTTTTTTTTTTTTTTTTTTTTTTTTAAGTTCTCCTCCCCCGAACGGATCGGATTCTCCGTTTGCTGCTGCGAGCATGGCAATCGGGGCAGGCAGTTTGCGGAGTCTGCCTGTCTGTGTCTATATATTAGTATAATAGGGCATACTCACACTTGGAATTTCCCGGATGTATCTGACCACAATTATTGCCCGAAGCCGGATGTGCCTGACCGCAATTGTGCCCAGGTCGTAGTTGTAAAAGAGCTTCGCTCGACCACTCGTCAACCGGAATTTGCCGTGGTGAGTGCTCACCACGGCGATTTTTTTATATATATTATTTTCCCTATTTTTTAAGGGGGCAGCCTTGTGGTACCAGAGTCGCCCGGGTCCACTTGCCCGGCCGGGCCAAAAAGATATAAAAAATAAAAATTATTTTTAATTAAAAATTTTTATTTTAAATTTGGTAAAGAATTACGATGTGATCCTGAGGCAAAAGTTGTTCAGTTTAATTTTTTGCATAACATATTTTTTTTTTCGGATTTTTTTTTTGTTTTTTTTTTTGGCTGGGACCTTTCCTGGTCCTTGCACGGCCGGTCCGCCCGGAAAAATAGGGTGATCCGGGCGGCCCGGCTGGTAGCCTAAGAATTGGCGTAATTTTCTGAATTGTCGTAATTTTCTGAATTGTCGTAATTTTACTCATCTGCTTCCAGTGGAGCTCGAACTCCACTGGAAAAAAAAAGGTCGTCCTCCTTTAAAAAAGAAAAAAAAGAAAAAAAAAAGGAGGCCGAGAAAGGTATGCGAGTGTGCATTTCAGCAGTTCAGGGGTGTAGCAACTGAACTAGTAGGCCAGTTGGTCGTACCCGCGGCGAGTTCTTCCCAAACTAGTGTCATCACTCCACCAACTCACTAGACTCGCATACCTTTCTCGGCCTTTTTTTTTTTTTGAAGGGCGACGACCTTGAGATGTCATCATCCAACAGACCAATTAGTTTCTCACTCTCTCATCTAAGACGGAACCTTGCGGCCACGTCACGCAGGAGTATATAGAATTATGGACTGGACTAATGATTTGCTACTCCGAGTGGGTGCACCGTCTTCCAGCCGTCCTAGCTCTTGGTGGAGCAACGGCTTACCCAACCTGAGGGGGGTCTATGGGGGTTGCAAGTTGCTCTTGAGGGCAACTTACAGAACCCAGGTAAAACATCCTCCACAGCAAAAATAATTCTGCAAAGACAAAAAGTTTAAAACTGCATTATGCTACTTTTTTTTTTTCTTTTCTTTTTTTTTTCGTGTGTGTCGTGTTATATTACACTTGTTCTATTTGATCTCGGCGAGATTTTTGCTGGTAAGGAGGAGATGGGTGTGTAGGGACTGCATGCACAACTCAGACAGATGTGGAGAATCATGTGCACCACAGAAAATTAGGAGAAGTGGGAACCAACGAGCCTAGCTCAGTTGGTACACCCTTGAACTATTGAATTACAGACCCAAGTTGGAATCCTCATGAACCTTGATGAATGCCATGAAATAATTCTCAATTACGTGGGCCGGTCAACTCCATGATGACATCTCAAGACCGTTGCCCGTTTAAAAACATCTCAAGACCGTTGCCCTTTTAAAAACATCTCAAGACCGTCGTCCTTTAAAAAAAAAAAAAAAAAAAAAAGGTAGGAAAAGAGCATAAGAAGAGTGTAGGGAATGATATAGAGAGGGGATTGGCATGATGGCGCCTTTGCAAGGAAAAAAAAAAAAGCTCACAAATTGAGAAGTGGTCCAATTGTTTCTGATAGTGAAAAAAAAAAACACCAAAGAAGTGAAAAGAGGTTGCCATCTTCTTCTTTTGGTCTACCTTTTGTTTGGTTCTTTGAGGTCCCGTATGCACTATCAGTTAGTAGACTCAGTACGATGTAGAGTTCAGGCAGTGTTTGTGAATTTGTCTACGTACGGTTCACGATTCATTGTGCCTGTGCTTGATTGGGGGGGCGCAAAGTGAGGTGGAAATCGCTCTTCTGAGGAGACTGCGTGGCAGCGGTCAAAACCGGTAGGTGGGGAAGCCATGACCCACCGGATGTGTACTTTTCCCCAATCATTGAATCATTTCGATCACGTGCATGATGTGCATGTGATTGTGTATGAACTTTATGAAGTTATACACGCGAGCTAAAGTTGTGGCCTTGCTGGTGTATACAGTAAAACTGTTCCCCTTCGGGTCTGCGCCGGTAGCAAAAGCGGCAGGCCACTTTGAAAAGGTGTAGTTGCAGGCTCGAAAGCACATTCGGGTCCCGCACATTTGTGTCCTGCAAAGGGTAACCCTAAAAACAAAGAGAATTTCGAAGTATACTTATTTATTATTTTAACTAAACATAGAGTGATCTCTAGTTTCAGACAAAAAGAGGTCTTGAACATCTGGGTCCGGACATCCGCCGGCACATTCGGGTCCCGCACACTGAATGTATGTGCAGGCGGATGTCAGGACCCAGATGTTCAGGACCTCTTTTTGTTTGCAACTCGAGATCAGTTTATTAAACTTTATTTTTCATTAAAAATGATAAATAAGGGGGGAACCCGAATAAATTATTGTTGTTTTGTTACAAATAGTCAAATACTAGATTCAATTACCCCCTTACCCCCTTAAAATGCTAGATAAACAATGAGGGGGTAATTGTATCCATCTGATTCCATAAGGATTTTTGAACTCATGATCTGTTCATGAACCGATACATTTGTACCATTCAGCCACCTCTTGGCGCACCCTCTCTCTCTCTCTCTCTCTCTCTCTCTCTCTCTCTCTCTCTCTCTCTCTGCTTTTTCCTTTTAGCAACGCTTTGCAGGTGTCCAATGCATTTTTTGTTCTGCTGGCTTTTACAGCTATTAGTTCTCCCTCAAATATGGCATGTGCTCGTCGTCTGATATCTCTTTGTATATTTGTTTGCATTGTGTTTGCCTTTGTTTGAAGGCCTTGTATTTTTGTGTGCCATTCAGAGAACATTTGCTGGAGTACTTTGGAAAGTGCAAGGGATTCCCAGAAGCTGATGAGAACCTTCTTACCTGTCTAGCTGATCTCTTTGGACAGGTTTGTGGCACAGTATTTTTTTTATTTTTTATTTATTTTTTTGTTCTTTTTTGGGCATAGTATCAAATAATTACTTTGAATAAGTTGGTATGCATCAAATGAAATTGAAAACCTCCAAAGAAACCCAGAGAAGATGATATGAACCTTTGTGCTTGGTAGCTGATCTCTTTAGACAGCTTAGTGGAATAGGTTAATCGCATGGATGTAAAAAAAACGTACTGCTTTATAAAAAGCATCTATATCTCAGCAATTCTTTTTTAATATGTTGCCCAACTCACAAAAAAGTACTACTTTATAAAAAGCATCTATATCTCAGCAATTCTTTTTTAATATGTTGCCCAACTCACTCTATTTTTGTATATTTAAAAAAAAGTACTACTTCAGCAATTTTTACCCAACTCACTCTTGATTTGGTTGTTCGAATCAATTAACTTGAAATTAATTCATTGAGTCAATGAATAAGCACCGCATACTCAATTCAACCCAGAGGGCTCGTAGTATACCTACCACACTTCGCACCTACCGGCAGAGGGGAAGGAACTGCTTTTGCTCAATTTGGTGCAGATCTTGATGTTGCCACTCAATATTTATTAAACCGTGGCACGGGACTAACAGTAGTGTTGAACTAAACTTGAATACAATGCATCTGCGTTATGTTCGGGCGAGACGGTAGGGCTTTGATGGATGTATTCAAACGTTTTTAAGGAGGGGAGAGAGAGAGAGAGAGAGAGAGAGAGAGAGAGAGAGAGAGAGAGAGAGAGAGAGAGAGAGAGAGAGACGAGGGGGGGTAGTTGCCACGGCTGGCAAGCGTCCAGAAGCAGAGACGTTCAAGAAAATAAGCAAAGATTCGAGCTATGGGAGGCAATATTAGGACATGTGAGACTTAGTCCCAGATTTGATCTATTGTTGACAAGCATAGAGTGTCTGTACTTGGGGGGTGTGCCAAATTATGAACGGTGGGTGACCCTCGATCTGAAGCTGGCAATTGTCTTCCAATTTCACATTGTTTCCTTTTTCGGAATTTTTTATTCTTTTGGGATTTTCCACCAGGATTGCTTGGCACCTTTCCTGGTCCTTGCCTGGTCAGGTGCGCACTGTTTGAGTTTACCTGAGTGATCTACGTAGGCGGGGGCTGAACTGCCTGGCAAGCAGTGTAGGTCTAACTTCTGCTGCATGTGCTAGTATACTCACACCAGGCCCTCAAAATCACAAAATCACAAAATGAGTGGCCAGATTGAGTCCTTTGTTTACAAGAACTCAATGTGGCCACTCGTTTTGCGATTCTGCCATTTTGAGGGCCTGGTGTGAGTATGCCTGCCCTTATTCTTTTTCTTTTTTTTTCCTGTTTTGTTTTTCTTTTGTCCGTCGTACGGACAAATGGACAGAGAAGTCGGAAGTCTGAAATCGAGAGGAGCAGAGCAACGAGAATGTTTTTGGGTTCTTGCCGCACGGCACACGAAACGAAAACGAAACGAGTGCATCTGCCCACCAAAGGTGGCAAAATACACTCGTTACTATTTATAGCAAACCGATGAAGCTGGCCATTTTCTGGGGGAAGATAGCATTCGTTTCGTTTGTGGTTTCGTGTGCCGTGCGGCAATGCCCTTTTTCAACTCCCAATCTCTGACAGCTCTCGACCCACAATTGATTTTTGGGTAGAATCCATAGTGATGCAGTGAGCCTCCCTTGGTCGACGTTGATAACGATTCTCTTGTTCTTTTGGTCTTTTGACTCGTTAACGAATATATTTTGTCCGAAACACTCATGGCTAACACGTCAGAAATCGGAAATGGAGATGGAGATGGAGATGAACACCCTAGTCACATCACCAATATTGATCTTGGACTTTGACTTCTGTGTCCATTGTGCACTACTACAGAGAAACAAAAGACGGGAAAGGAAAACACAGAACCCATCACACCTGCCAAGGAGCCTACCGTCTTCACCCGAATAGAACGCCCGGTCATTATCGCTGCATCTGGACTGAAAGTTGGGGCAAATGCAGCTATAATGACCGGGCGTTCTATTCGGGTGAAGACGGTAGCTCAGTCGGTACGGCATTCAACTGTTGAGATGTAGACGTGAGTTCGAATCCAGATGGAACCAGATGAACGGAACTCCTGAATTACCTGGGGACGGTCAGTTTCACGATGATATCTCAACGCAGTCGAAAAGAAAAGAGAGAGAGCGAAGGACATAAGGAGATCAGGAAGGAGGAGAGGAAAAGGAGAGAAAAAGAGAAAAAGAAAAAAAGAGAGAGAGAAACAATCCATTGTACCTTTGGTTCTCTAGGTGAGGGGGCAACTCGTGAAACACGAGATGGAACCGAAGCTCTAACCCGAGCTCTGTTGAGTTAAACCACCAGGACTTCCTCAAGTCGCGTAGCGTTAATTTTAGGAAACGTACGGGCCACTACAGGAGCGCCCAAATTCATCCAACTAGAAATGTTTCTACTCTAGTTTTTTCCGCGGCCGATAGCTGGGCCAAGTACTGGTGGTTTAACGATTTTAGCAGGCAGGGCGCTCTCTTTTTCTCCGAAAGGCCTCTCAAACCCCGTCTGCTCTGAGTATGTCCAAGTACATCGAAGGTGGTTGATGCCCCACTTCTGTTTTTTCTCTGCAGGATGGTCTGATTTGATCTGCTGTTTTTTTTTCCTTGCTTTCTTTTTCGCAGTCCTTTGCATTGCATACTTTGTTGATCTCTAGAGAATGCCGTCTTCACACGAAAAGCCCATGCTAATCTCTAGTGTCCGTTTCCTGTTGTGTCCCACAGCACTATTGTAGCATTCAGATGGACTGCTGGGCAGGTGCTTCTGACGTGGGTGGATGTTTGAACGGTCATGTGTCTGCTGCCATGTGTCTGTCGGTGGTCAGATTAACAGCCAGAAACGGAAAACGGGTGTCATTGCTCCAAAGCGCTTCGTTCAGAGAGTGAAGAAGGAAAACGAACTCTTCAGAAGTTACATGCATCAGGTAAGTACAGTCCTGTTTTACGAAGGGAAAAAAAAAAAAAAAAAGCCCGATGGTTTTTACGAGCTTTGATTTCATTGCCACCTCCCGGAGCTCGACGTCAAGGAGGGAATTGAAAAATGCTTTGGACCTTTTGCTTCATTTTGTTATTTTTAATGTTATCTATGTAGGCCTTGTTAGCATTTCAAACTTTTGAAAATGCTTCTTCTTCTTCTTCTTCTTCTTTTTTTATTTTTTTTATTTTGTTTTTAGACTTAGGTTTTGTGGGGGGTTTGATGGCCAGATTGTCTGCTTTATTTTGATTCACAAGACTAGCAACACAGGTTGTGTACGTGTTGTATGCCTCTGTGAGAGAGTACGCCAATGTGCAGCATCCCTAGCACATTTCAATGTCCCTGGCCATATGACAAATGGCCAGGTACATTCTAGGAGGGGCTTATTGGCCTGTCATGGTTTGAAAGGAGCCTGGATTTAGCCTTCCCCTTCCTCCCCTTCAAGAATCCTTGGTTCATGCGTAGATGTCACCTTGCTCCATGTCGTAGTGTAACCATGGCGAACACACAGATATTGCCCTAAGCTACAGCTGGGGTCTAGAAGGATAGGGGAAACATGTGGGCTGCAAATAGTCTGCACAAGGGTGTCTTTGGGCCCCAAATTACTCTTGGCCCCAGCTTGAGCTTACAAAGACTGTAAGAAGGGCAGAGGTACTGAATAGGATCAGAGTCGGAAGGAAAGGGGCCCCTACCTTCTTCGCCCGAACACAACGTACGGTCATTTTAGCTTTATATAGACTGAAAGATACCCCAAATACAGCTATAATGACTGTACGTTGTATTCGGAGCTATAATGACCGTACATTGTGTTCGGGGGAAGAAGGTAGACTGATTTACTGGAAACTACAGCCACGGCCCTTGACGTGTACGTGTCGTTTATGTCATAAGAACATACGGGAAGGGACCATGTGATGATGTCATGGGCCCGGAGAAGATGAGAATGGAAGCTGCACTCTGCATGGAGTTGAAGAGGACCTCAGAAGAAGGCATTGAAAATAGAAAAGTAGAGGTCCTTATACTTGTTCAACAGGTGGCTTTGCATGATGAGATATTACAGTGCTTACCCCTGGTGCTCTCATCGCCTATCCATAGAGGTGCCCACAGAGGTACGCTGAGGCAGCTGTGTGACGACCTCGGGAGCGTCTTTAGGTATACTGTTGCCATTCCTTAGGTGCTGCGCTGGCCCTCTTCCGTAGAATCCCAGGTCATAGAGGTGTGTGTTCATGTATGGCTCACTAAGGAGGCCAGCTTGGTTAAGTTTAGCCCTCCCGAGGTGTAACGCGGTGGTTCGTCTCTTGTCCAGGACTTGGTGGTGTGAATGGATGATGAATAAGTTCTGCCTTTTTTTTTTTTTTTTTTTTTTTTTTGAAACAATAACCTTAGGGTTCCGGCTCCTTCTTTTCCCCATTGTGGGGAGGATCAGTCCGGTTCTTATTCCACTGGCAAGTCAAAGGAATTACATTATTGAGAACACGCTCATGCTCCCCCCCCCCCCTTCTGGTGTGGAGGCCCAAGGGACGGCATTGATTACTTCCGTCTGGAAGGATGTACCACCCCTCACACCTGCCTAAGTTAGCCTACACTACTTTTCTCCTACCTTTCCTGCTACCGTCTTCACCCGAATAGAATGGCTGGTCATTATAGCCGTATTTGGTGCAATTTGCAGTCCAGATAGGGCAATAATTACGGGGCGTTCTATTCGGGTGAAGACGGTAGTCTGAAGTCCCGTTTTACTCCGTCACTTGAAGCTTGCCTACTTATGTTCCTTGCAGCCAGTCCCTCTCAGCTCCTAGGCTGTCTGATTTTCTTTTCATGCTAGAACTGCTGATTTGGCTGCCTATGGATAAATTTGTTAGAACTTAGAACTGTACTCTCTGCAGCTGTGTTTGTTATGCTCCTTGCTAAAACCCGGCCTACAGGAATAAGCTCTGCTTTGCTTGTTTGTGAGGTGCATTTATTTGGCATCGAAGTCGAAGTGGAAGTGGAAGTCGAAGTCGGGATCGGGAGGATTGGGCTCACCATCCTTTGTGCTTGTGGAATGCAGGATGCCCATGAGTTTCTCAACTTTCTCCTGAACGAGTTGGCAGACATCCTTGCCCGCGAAGCAAAGGGGATCTCCAGTCTCAGTGGAAATGGTACGAACAGTGCGAATGGGGGATTTACACCTGGCACAAGTAGCAGTGCTTCTTCACGAACTGGTGGTGCTAACCAGCCTAGCGTGAATAATGGGAGAATCCCTGGTTCGGGTGGCAGCGGGGGAGGCAGCAGTGGAGCAGGGACCCCTTCGTCATCAGGTGGTATCGGAGGGAAGGGTCTGCATATATCGACGTCCCAATCCCAACTGCAGTTCCAATCAAATGTAAGCGGGGCCGGAGCTGCAAGCAGTGCTGCAAATGGCTTAGCAAATGGAAATAGTAGCGGCAGGCCAAACGGGATGTCAGGGGGACCAGTGGTGACATGGGTACATGAGATCTTTCAGGTGTGTTGCAAGTCGACATTCTTGTGGCTTGCAAATGTCTTTGTCATTGCAAAAGGGTCATTTTAGCATTTTAACCCCTGAACAGGTCTCACTTTGTTTGTGGCTTCTTATTCACCTACGCTCCTGTTGCCTGCAATCCCGTCCATGACCCAATCCCTTTTTTGTTTGGTTGTTTGTTTCTGAATTTGGACCATTTCTTGATTTATGCGTGTCATCCTTGTGCAGGCAGGGGCCATGCTGTTTTTTTTTTCTGTATTGTTCCCAATTATAACGGGCTAGACGACTTGTTCTATATCTCTCTCTTACAGCACGATTATTATTTAGCTCGGAAAAGAAAGAAACAAAAGCAAATGCCAACATGAATAAATGGGCTGACGACTTTCTTGAAACCACTTTTTTTTTCGGCAATAGCACTTGCAATAACTTAGCTCAAAACTTGCATCAGTCCTGGGCGTGTGTTGCCACTTTGGTCCGAGGGCCGAAACAGGGGTCAAAGGCCACACCCAAGTCATGTGAACTGCCCGAAAGAAGGCCTGCTGCCATGGGTTACCCGAAACAAGGCCTAAAACTGGCCTTCAGAGGCCCAACGTGCGACGGTTGACCAATGAAAGTCAACAGTCAACAGCAGCTCGGAAATTCAGGCCCACGAGTCAAAGTCAGCATGGATCCAGCCCAGGCCGTCGATCAGACACACACCTTTGGCTGTTTGCAGGCATCCGTAAGGAATCAAGTCCAAGTGGGAATCTGCAACTGTATGACTGCGCGTCAATCTGGGCCATCGTATTTGAGAGACCAGAGGCTGGTCAACCGGAGTCAACACTATACGTTGACCCAGCCCCTGCTAACCGACATTCAGTCTTGCGCATGCTGCTTGACGCTGGCTGGACGTCAGCTTGAGCTTGATGCTGGCACTACTCTGGCTGGACGCTGATATGACGACGCAGGACTGCTATTGCTGTATGCTGGTGCCATTTTCTGTCTTCGGCGCCAGCTGGACACTTGACTATGCTGACGTGGTACTCGCCACACTGGTTATGACATTGATGGGGTACTGGTGGGCAGGATAAGGATGAGGGCTGTGAGATTGATCAATGTGGAGGAAGCTTACCTGTTTGCGTTTGTGGTCGAAATTGCACACTGCTGTTCGTATTCAGAAGGTGTCTGCGCTGACAAGCACCATGTGACAGGCACTGGCGTCTCTCGCTCTCTCAGAGCATGAAGTAGATTAGCATGACCTTGTGCACGGGCAACGCACATAAATCAAGAAATGGCCCGATCTTTTCTTTATTTTTTGAGTTAGTGCCATGTCAGCAATGGTTAGGGGGGGTGGGGTTAGTTAGATGGGGGGCATAACAGTAAGCAGTTAGGTAGTGCCTCATCAGCGGACATAGGGCCTCGCTCCACTACACAACACTGTACATGCATTTGGACTCTTTGTTGACCAGAATCGTCCGAATGCACCTGGTCCCTAAAGCGTCTAAATGCAGCGAGGCCCATAGTTAGGGATGTTCGGGTTAGATAGATAGATAGGGGGGAGGGGATCGCAGTAGTCTCTCTCTCCCTCTCGCTCCCTCTCTCTCTCTTTCTCTCTTGTGGAGTATCATACTCTCTCTCTCTCTCTCTCTCTCTCTCTCTCTCTCTCTCTCTCTCTCTCTCTCTCTCTCTCTGTCTATATCTTTCTCTTTACCGTGAAGTAGATTAGCGTGGCTCCTGTGCAAGGACGATGCACAGAAATAAAGAAATGGCCTGATCCTTTTATCTTTCTTTCTTTCTTTTTTTTCAGTTAGGGTCACATCAGGAGCGATAGTTAGGGGGTTTGGGGGTCAGTTAGGTGGGCGGGGTGTAGTAGTGAGCAGTTTGGTAGTTCCAGGGGTGTGGGTCATAGAGATCGGCTTGGCGGGG